ATAAAAAGAATTAATAGGAAGGATAGAGGGCTTTCCTTTCTAATATCACAGTATATATGATCTTTAAAGGAAAAAAAGTTAAGGGTTAATTAGATAATTATGGTATGGAGGGAAAAGAAGATGGGAGGAAATCTTTTCTGTTAGCATAATTATCTTTCCTCGTTTTATAATGCATATCACGGATAGATCTTTTGGGTATTAAGTATTAATCTTTAGATTGCTACTGCAATGTGTAATTGATTTTATATTGTTGTTGCTATCTTTCTTTATGTTTAAATTTCATATACTTTTTTTATGGGTAAATACTAAATAGTTTCATTTATTATTTGATAGAATGTGTTGGTGAACTTTAGCATCAAATAATTTGAATGATTTACCTTTATCGGTGAAGAACTGCCATGGCGGTGAGAAATTTATCGTCTAGCCAATGGTGTAAAACAAAGATGTGAAAGGCACTAAGATATTTAGAGAAGTTTTTTCGAGCCACTATTTAGTTGAACCATTCAGTCCATAAAGCTTGTTGCAAATTTATGACATACTAATTGACTTTTCGTGTAAGAAAATTCTCGCCGAAACTTGTTTTTGCATGAACTTTTTCTCAAGAAGAATATATGTGCTATTTAGTAAAACGTAGCTGAAACAGTGACGATCAGTTGCACAATTTACAGTTTTTTTATTTATAAAGTTTCTCGAATCAGTGAAGTATATGTTCTCTTTAATCAAATTATTTACTTGCAATGATCAATAAAAGACTTGCCATAGATAAAAAGTCCACAGATGAAATTACCTCATTATATTTTGCAACTAATTTGCTATTATGTTGCATAAAGTATATGAATAAGCAACACCACAACAAATGTGTTGCATATAATAGAGAATATGCAACAGATAACTAAGTTGGGTTGCATATACTACCTAATACGCAACTCCAAAAAAGAGAGTTGCCAATACATACCTAACGTAACACTTTCGATTAGTGTTGCAATGTGGGTGTTGCAAGAGGTCTATTTTCCTGTAGTGGGGGGGGGGGGATATTAGCCTCCCACAAACGAATCCAACTGGACTTATCCACAGGCTGAGTTTGAGATCACACCACCGCCCCTCCCCTTAATAAATCACCTCTGCCACTGTTGGATCACCCCCCTCCGTTAGAATCACAGGATTATACCGCGGAGGATCGAGCTGCAACTGAGGTATCCAGGGGGATCGAAGTAGAGAGGCCGAACGCCCATTCCGAATTTTCCACCTTAGGCCCATCTCCAATAATTCCCGACCATACAAGATGCTTTGCCAACACCAAGACGGGCGAGAGAGAGCTTTAGCATTTAGGAAGTGCCCAGATGGGAAATACTTACCCTTATAGACATGGGCAAGAAGAGAATGGGGTTCAACAAGGATACGCCAGCCAATCTTGGCTAAAAGAGTTTGATTAAAATGCTCAAACCGACGAAATTCCATCCCCCCTCATTCTTACTCCTACACATGTCTCGCCAGGTTATCCACCTAATTCTCGAGTGACCCTCATTATCACCCCACCAGAAACGGGCTCCATGTTTGTCCAAACGGCCACACAGAGAGAGGGGCAATTTGAAACAGGACATCACATGCAACGGTAAAGCCAAGGCAATGGACTTAATCAGAGTCTCCTTAGCTGTCCAAGACAATGTCCTCTACTTCCATCCCTGTAATCTCTCCAATAGTTTCTCCTCCAAGTACCGGAAAGTCTCCATTTTAGAACGAGCAATCAAAGTAGGGAGTCCCAGGTACTTATCATGCACCCCTACCGCTCCAACTCCCAGAATCGCAGCTAAGAATTCTTGGTCAGGCAGAGCAATATTCTTGCTGAAGCAAACCGCTGATTTTGAAATATTTACGCGCTGACCACTAAGCTCCTCATATTCATTCAGTACCTCAATTAAATTCTAACATTCCTGGAGCGTGCCACGCAGGAAAAGATAAGAATCATCGGCAAAAAACACGTGCGAGATCTGGGGGGCACGAGGAGCCACTTTGACCCCTGCCAGCCGTTTCCGAGATAGCCTTACACAGGAGAGCCGCAAACCCCTCTGTGTAGAGCACAAACAAAAGAGGGGGATAGAGGTTCCCCTTGGCGTAAGCCCCTTGATGGCGTGAAGTATCCTGCCGGAGTACCGTTCATTAGCACAGAAAATGACGAAGATCAGAGGCATTCATGTATCCAACCCTGACAGACTGAGTTAAAACCCATCTTGTCCAAAATCGCAAGAAGAAACGGCCATTCGACTCTATCATAGGCCTTTTCCATGTCAACCTTTAGAGCCATGTACCCTCTCTTTCCTTGCTTTTTGATTTTCAAGTAATGCATTAACTCGTACCCAAGGAGGATATTCTCCACAATTTGGCGATCTCGAATGAACGCATTTTGGCCTGCCAAGACGATATGAGGTAAGAGGCAAGATAATCTTTCAACCAAGATATTGGTTATGATTTTATAAACAAATTGACATAAATTGATTGGGCGTAATTGCCTCATAGATTCCACATTGTCTACTTTGGGGATTAGTGTGAGCCAGATGTGATTGAAGCTACGGAGCATCCTACTAGCCGTAAAAAACGAGCAGGCTGCTTCAATCACCGAATCCCCCACAATCCCCCAGAAGGCCTTGAAGAATTTGCCCTTGAAACCATCTGATCCGGGGGCTTGTTTAGATCCCATCGTGAATACAGTTTTACGTACCTCATCAGGGAGGACGGCGACCGTCAGGACAACATTCATTTCCGGGGTAACACTACGAGCGATAGGCAGAGCATCTACCCACTTCCCGATATTCAGGACCTGATTCTCAGAATTGAAAAGATGGCAATAGAAATTTGTAGCAATATCTGCTTTCCCTTTTTCATCAGTGATCCATTCGCCACTCTCATCTCTGAGGCCGATCACAAAGTTCCGTTTACGACGAGTCCTAGTCACCATATGGAAGTACGATGTGTTTTTGTCCCCCTTCTTTAACCAGTGAACTCCGAATTTCTGCTGCCAGTAGACTTCCTTCGCCTCAAATTGTCTATTCAATTCAATTTCTAGGCAACGGATCTCATCCCAATCAATAGGTTGGATTAGCTTGATCTGCTCAATTTCGGTCTGGAGAGTTTTGATATTGCGCAGGGAGTTAGTGGTGCCTGCTCTGCTCCAATCATATAATAAATGACGTCGTTTTTTAAGACGTTCCCAAAGTCTAAACATTGGAGTGCCTTGGAAGTCTTCCTGCCAAACATAAGAGACCATTGCTTTCACTTGAGGATTATCCGCCCAACGAGCATCAAAACGAAATAGAGGGCGACTATTTCGGACATAGGGTTTATCAGAGAAGAGGAGCGCCAGATGATCCGATCCCTGATCCGTAAAGTGTTTGACCAAGGTATCAGGGAAGCGATCAAGCCAGGATTGGGAGCAAAGAGCCCTGTCCAGTCTCTCTCGAATACATGTCGTCCCCATCCATTTATTAGTTCAAATAAATTGATCCCCCCCTGATATCCTAGGTCCAAGAGTCCCAGGTTTTGAACAAAATTACATAGGCTATGAGATTGCACAGCATTCCACTGGTTTCCTCCATCCTTCTCACTCTCATGGAGAATCGTGTTAAAATCTCCTAAAATAACATAGGGAATTTGGATGCCAGCGCAAAGGTCTTGGAGCTGATCCAGCTGGGTGGCATGGATTGCGACATTACAATTAATGTAAACAAAGATAACCACATACGAAACGTCCATTTCATTAACTTGAACACAAACACCGAAGCATCAACTTCAGGGGACCAAACCACAACTAAATCACCAGATGCATCAATTGCATCAACAAAAAAGCAACAAGAAGACTCAAACCCTAACCCATGCAAACGAAGGGAAACTACTCTCCGTCTCGAATGTGTTTCCGAAAAAAACACAAGATCCGGTTTATTGGAATGAACTAAGCCGACAACAGTTTATAATGAGGGATGGTCCAATTCCTCTCACATTCCAGACCAGAAGCCTCATTTATCCGGCTGGGGGAGACCCAGGTCCCCTCCTAAATGCTCCAGAGAACGCTTACGAGAACCGATAGTTGGGTTCATCATATTATACCCATATTCATCCAGACTCGACCCATTGTCGACTTCCTCTCCTAACTGCCGCTCCCTAGGAACAAATTCTTTAGGGATCTTCTCCACGAAAGGACTGTCCTTGCTCTTATCATGGGCAAAAGACATGCCAGCTTTAAAAGCTGCCACTACTTTGTTGACACGACCTGAGGGAATCTGGATCGGCTGTTTTTCACTCCTCTCAGGTAGACACTTTTTAATCTCAAAGCAAGGCATCTCTTCCTCCGAATTCGATTCCGCAAAATAGTGCTCCTCATTGAGGTTAACAGCAGCTCCATCTTTCAAACCAGCTGTTAAACCATGGGGTGATCTCATCATGTGATTTGTAATTTCAAGGATCTAGATCTATTATTCCCTTTATGCTTTTCCTTATAGACTATAGCCATGATGATGTCAGAGTTTATGTGTATTGTTTTAGTTTTGGATGGTTTATTTTGTGGCATCTTCACTTTCAAAATTTTCTGAAAAACTGGATGTGCTGGTTATAAAAGGTAGCTATTCACAGTTCTTGTATGTAAGGAATTACTCTTTACTTCTATTTTGGGTTAATTGTATGGTTGGTCACTGAGATTACAAAAAACGTCCAAGTTTGGTCACTCGAAATATTTAAATCCATTGGTAGTACTTCAGTTTACTGAAACCGTTCATGTTTGGTCACTCTCCGTCCAACTCCGTTAAATTTTGCTGATGTGGCAGTCAACTCTCAAAGTTGACCGTTAACTTAGTGACGTGGCAACAAAAAAATTATTTTAAAAAAATAAATTTTATATTTTCCACCTCATTCTTACATTCATTAAAAAATAAAAAAATAAAAACCTAATTTCTTTATTTTTAGAAAACGAGACTTGCTTCCCGCAATCTCTACCAAATGAGAGAGGGGGTGATTTATTGATTTACCCACAGTAGAGCCGCCGCCGCCAGAACGACGTTGTTGGGATCGCTTATCACCAGCCACCCGAGCCTCCACCTAGGAACAATCCACCTCTTCAAAATCGACCCGAGCGTGATAACCGGCGCAATCGACCCAAAAACCCCCATCGCCACAAACGGATTGGATCCGAACGCGAGGTGCCCATAGACCTTGTCGGCGATCACTAAAATCCCTAGCTTTCTGGCCGTCTCGACGATCTTCTTGAGGTGCTCGTAGCTGTAGACGTTCCCACAAGGGTTCCCCGGGTTGACGATGACGATGGCGGCGGTGTTGTGGTCGGTCAAGGACTCGACGGTGTCCAGATCGACCTCCCAGCCGTGGTCGGAGAGGAGGCCGTAGTGGCGGACCTCGAGGTTTCTGTTGGCGGCGCAGGCGTCGTAGTATGGGTAGCCGGGTCGGGGGAGGAGGATGTTGGATCCGGGTCGGGCGAGGGTGGTGAGGGTGACTTCGATGGCGTGGGCGCAGCCAGAACGACGGCACTGTGGGTAAATCAATAAATCACCCCCTCTCTCATTTGGCATAGATTGTGGGAAGCAAGTCTCGTTTTCTAAAACTAAAGAAATTAGGTTTTTTATTTTTTTGTTTTTTAATGAATGTAATAATGAGGTGAAAAATATAAAAGTTTATTTCTTTATTTTTAATAATTTTTTTGTTGCCACGTCACTAAGTTAACGGTCAACTTTGAGAGTTGACTGCCACATCGGCAAAAGTTAACGGAGTTGGACGGAGAGTGACCAAACATGAACGGTTTTAGTAAACTGAAGTACCACCAATGGATTTAAATATTTCGAGTGACCAAACTTGGACATTTTTGTAATCTCAGTGACCAACCATACAATTAACCCACTTCTATTTCAAACAAACTAAAACTAAAACAACAAAGTTGCCATGGCTTGAAAGCAACTGAACAGGACACTACTAGCTTAAATGGCAGAACCAATTAACCACAGGTTAAAACCCAAAACGACCAACCCTCACTAGAACTCACATGATCACTCACGTGATTACTTATTCAACAATGTCCCCACGTCTCTGGTGTGGCGGCCAACGTAAGGTATGTCGTTCCCTTCCTCAGCGATGCGGGCGTCAAGTCGGCCATAATGACCACAGGTGATGGATGATTTTGGTGTCATGATTTTTCGTATATATTAATTTTATTATCATTGCATCAACGGTGTCCACCAACAACTTTGTAGGTACTATATACAGCGTAACTAATTTAGTCTTGGTTGTGTCTGATCAATGCATCAACGGTGTCCACCAACAACTTGGGGACGCCCATCGCCCCGGACCAAGGCTATTCGACCACCCCCTACGACGTCACTGCCGTCATCCTCCAGCCAACAAGAGCCCTGAGACCAGGTCTCATCTACGATACCACGGGCGAGGAGTTCCTCTACTTCCTGTGCTGCCACATATACAACACAACCACCGTCAAGTCCATCTCGAGGACAGCCGCACGAAGCTTCTAATTCCCGCCCGGGGGTGCCATCCATGACCGTATCTCTTCCCTCAACTAACCCTCCATCTCGGTGAGGCTAAGTCGGATGAGGGGAGGAGGACCATCCCCAGGCGCCTGACCAACGTGGCCGCTACAACTGGAAATGGCACCGCCGCCTGGGTGTACCAAGGTTCTGTTGGGTTGGACGGCGAAGGCGGTGGCATAGTGATCGTGGTTGTTCCTAGGTTTCTTAGGTTTGTCAAACAAGGAGAGACCAAGGGATTTCAAGTCATCTTCTAGAGCAACATGACTACTGTGGGGAGGAAAACTGTGACCAGGTGGGTGAAGTTGACCAACTGTCACTTCATGGTTCAGTCGGTCTTTGTGGCTGAGGTGGTCTGAAGAAGAAAATGCATGGTCGGGCAAGAAGAAGGGAGCAGAATAAGTGTAGTTAACGTCTCTGGTGTGGCGGCTATCGTAAGGTCTACCGTTCGCGGGCGTCAAATCGGCCATAATGACCATAGGTGATGGATGATTTTGGTATCATGTTTTTTGGTATATATTAATTTTATTCTCATTCATCAATGATCACGACACTATCCACCTTTACGTACTATATACAATTTAACTAATTTAGTCTTGGTTGTGTTTGATCTATTCATTAGTGGTGTCCATTAACAACTTGGGGATGCCCATCACTACCGACCAAGGCAACTCGACCACCCCCTACGACGTTGGTGTCGGCATCCTCCAGCCTACAAAAGCCTTGAGACCGAGTCACATCTACAAGACCACGGCTAAGGAGTTCCTCCACTTCCTGTGCTACCTCGGATACAACAGAACCACCGTTATGTCCATATCGAGGACAACCTAACAAAGCTTCTGTTGCACGGTCGGGGGCGCCAACCACGACCTTATCTCTTTCCTCAAATACCCCTCCATCTCGGTGAGGTTGAGTCGGATGGGGGGAAGGAGGAGCATCCCCCGACGCCTGACCAACGTGGCTGCTACAACTGGAAATGGCACTGCCGCTTGGGTGTACGGCGTACCAAGGGCCTGTTGGGCTGGTCGGCGTGGTGGTCAAGGTTGTTTCGAAGGTCTTGAAGTTTGTCAAAAAAGGGAAGACCAAGGCATTTCAAGTCATCTTCCAAAGCAACAGGACTACTATGGGGAGGAAACCCATGACCGGGCGGGTGAAGTGAACTAACCGTCACTTCACGATTTGGTTGGTATTTGTGGCGGAGGACAAGAAGAAGATAATGCATGGTCGTGAAAGAAGAAGAAGAAAGGGAGCGAACAAGTGCAATTAACGTCTCCGGCGTCGTGCTAACGTACGGTCTGGCGTTCGCGGGCGTCAAGTCGGCATTAATGACCACAATTGATGGATGATTTTGGTATCATGATTTTTCGAAAATAATAATTTTATTATCATTCCTCAATGATTACGACACCACATAACTTTGTACGTACTATATATAACATAACTAATTTAGTCTTGGTTGTGTCTGATCTATGCATCAGCAGTGTCCACCAACAACTTGGGGACGGCCATCAAAACCGACTAAGGCAACTCGGCCACCCCTTACGAGGTTTGCGCCGGCATCCTCCAACCAAAAAGAGCCTTGAGACCGGCTCTCATCTACCACCGTCAAGTCCATCACGAGATCACAACACAGCCACCGTCAAGTCCATCACGAGTACAGTCCCACTTAGATTCCGTTGCCTGACCAGAGGTGCGAACCGCAACCTTATCTCTTCCCTCAACTACCCCTCCATCTCGATGAGGTTGACCCCGGACCTCCCCCCCCCCCCACCCCCCAGCGCCTAACCAAGGTGGCAACTACAACTGGAAATGGCACCGCCGCCTGGGTGTACCAAGGGTCTGTTGGGTTGGACGGCGAAGGCGGTGGTGTGGTGACCGTGGTTGTTCCTAGGGTTCTTAGGTTTGTCAAACAAGGAGAGACCAAGGGATTTCAAGTCATCTTCTAGAGCAACAGGACTACTGTGGGGAGGAAAACTATGACCAGGTGGGTGAAGTTGACCTACTGTCACTTCATGGTTCGGTCGGTCTTTGTGGCAGAGGTGGTATGAAGAAGAAAATGCATGGTCGGGCAAGAAGAAGGGAGCATAATAAGTGTTGTTAAGGTCTCCGGTGTGGCGGCTACCGTAAGGTCTGTCGTTTGCGGGCGTCAAGTCGGCCATAATGACCATAGGTGATGGATGATTTTGGTATCATGTTTTTTGGTATATATTAATTTTATTATCATTTATCACTAATCAAGACACTATCCAAATTTACGTACTATATACAATTTAACTAATTTAGTCTTGGGTTGTGTCTGATCTATGCATTAGTGGTGTCCATAAACTTGGGGATGTCCATCCCCTATGACGCTGGATCTGCATCCTCCAACCTACAAAAGCCTTGAGACTGTGTCTCATCTACAAAGACCACGACAGAGGATTTCCTTCACTTCCAGTGCTACCACGGATACAACACAACCACCGTCATGTCCATAGCGAGGACAGCCTAACGAAGCTTCCATTGCACCGCCGGGGGCGCCAACCGCAACCTTATATCTTCCCTAAACTACACCTCCATCTCAGTGAGGTTAAGTCGGATGGGGGGAAGGAGGACCATCCTCCGACGCCTGACCAACGTAGCCGCTACAATTGGAATGGCCCCGCCGCCTGGGTGTACCAAGGGCCTGTTGGGCTGGACCACGTGGTGGTCAAGGTTGTTTCGAGGGTTCTGAAGTTTGTCAACCAAGGGGAGACCAAGGGATTTCAAGTCATCTTCTAGAGCAACAGGACTACTGTGGGGAAGAAACCTGTAACCGGGTGGGTGAAGTGGACTAACTGTCACTTCACGGCAGGGCCGGAGCTATGTAGGGACTTGGGGGGGCCCCGGCACCCCCAAGAATTTTGAAGATTGTGTAAAAATACGATAAGAAATTTGAAACTATGTATTAATTCAAATGGATCTGTATATAATAATACTGTGCAATATGAATATCATAGTGGTTGCCTTTAGTCCAACGGAAAACTGGTGTATGATTATAGTGGAGGTTGTAGGTTTGATACCCAACAATGCCTAATTTTTTACCTTTTAACTATTATTTGTCTTTTAAGTTGATTTTTTTATAAAAAAATAAAAAGTAGTCACTTATCTTTCGACTTTCATGCTTTGTTTTCTTACATACTTTAAATTTAATTCAACTTATACATTTATATCTTTCGATTTTCATGCTTTGTTTTCTTAAGTACTTTAAATTTAATTCAACTTATACATTTTATATCTTAAAAGATAATTTTGAATATATAACAAATAAAATAATTATTCTCCCATTATTTAACAACAATCATTTGTTACTTATTATAATATTGAAGAACATGGTGCATTATTTTTTGTTTACAATTTATTTAATTATTTTGAACATGTCGTTGCTAAATTTTTTAATTTAAATCGTACTTTTAGTGCTTATAATTATATTAAATAACATTTTGTGGGGTGACATCTCTATATTTTCTTTAAGTTAATAAAAATTTTGGCCTCCCGAACTTAAAATCCTAGCTCCGCCCCTGCTTCACGGTTCAGTTGGTATTTGTGGCAGAGGTGTTCTAAGAAGAACAAGAAGAAGATAATGCATGGTCAGCCAAGAAGAAGAAGAAAGGGAGCGGAACAAGTGCAATTAACGTCTCCAGTGTGGTGCTAACGTACGGTATGTCGTTCGCGGGCGTCAAGTCGGCATTAATGACCACAAGTGATGGATGATTTTGTTATCATGATTTTGAGAAAATAATAATTTTATTATCATTCCTCACTGATCACGACACCACATAACTGTATACGTACTATATACAACGTAACTAATTTACTTTTAGTTGTGTCTGATCTATGCATCAGCAGTGTCCACCAACAACTTGGGGACGCCCATCAAAACCAACTAAGGCGACTCGGCCATCCCGTACGACGTCGGTGCCTACATCCTCCAGCCAACAAGAGCTTTGAGACCGGCTCTCATCTACGAGATCACAGCCGAGGGGTTCCTCCACTTCCTGTGCTACTACAGATACAAC